CTGTGTATATATTTTTATATTTATATTGTTAAATTTTAATACTTGATTTTTTTTATCTTGTTATATTTAGAGATGCCTGACATGCACCAACAGCATCAAAACAAATTCCAGGTATGTGCAAACTTACTTGGCAATAAAAGTTTTTCTGATTCTGAGCTGATTTTATTTAAAGGTTCAGAGATGGAGAAAGAATGAAGGAACACAACGTGTATTTATATTTTATCTGTAATGTGAATGAGTGGAGAGTTTGTTTTATTTTATATTTCAAGCATAAAACGCCACAAAGTTTCAAACCCAATGATCAATCGTGTCATCACGTCCTGTTTGGTTCAATGTTAAAACTCATGTTCCCATACCGGGAGTCGAACCCGGGCCGCCTGGGTGAAAACCAGGAATCCTAACCGCTAGACCATATGGGACATACCACACGTGGGTCAGGGACTGATAGTGAGCGCCCTCTGCTGGATCATGAGACTCACCTCAGACTGATGTGCTTCTTCAAACAGTTTAAATAGAAACGAATGTTTGAATTTCAAGTTCCACATCATTTCCAATTTACCCATCATGCACTGTTCAGCATGTGACATGAAGCCTGCGTGTGTCACGCATGTTCAGTTGTGTGTTCACGCTGTCGTCTGGTGTCAGAGGTGCGACACTTGCAGAAGAACCGAGGCTCCTGCAGAGAAACATCTGCAGCTCAACATGTCGTCCAGCAGCACAAACGTCCTCGTCCTCACATCACGGAGGAATCATTCACGTCAGGCTCAGTCACAGCAGCTCCTGCTGAATCTCTTCAGTTCATGAAGGTCTACAGCATCAGTTTACAGTCTGTCTCTGTCTTTGTCTCTGTCTCTGTCTTTGTTGTGTCCTCTCACTGTCGAATTCTGCAACGACACAGTGTCAACTTTCTTCGTATTTTGTGGAATAAAAACTTCATGAAAAATGTCTCTACAGCAAAAGTAGATTCATCCCTCTATCTGTCTTCTTCTGCTTCAGATCTACAGAAAGTATTTATTAACTTCAGAGTGTGAGTTGATTTTAATCTCCATGAAAAGTGAAAACTTGTTGTAGCTGCAGACTCGTCACAATTTTAAACTGGACGAACTCCTGCTGAGGTCGACGTGAAGCTCGGTGACCCGACGCCTCTTTTAAATTGATTTCACCCAAAACGCTTTTCTGGGAATTTGAGCTTTTCTGTCCATCACAGTGATCAGAGGAAACCTCGCTCACAGCCTCAGAGGAGCGATGCTGATGTTTTTGCTCATCAGCCGGAGTCGTTCAGATAATCAACATAATGACTTTTCATCCCAGCGCTGACCTAAACACTCAAATACCCACTGTGTGCATGTGTGTGTGTCCACGTCTGTCCATATAAACACGTGTTCGTCTGTCCCTCCATCGTCTGTCTGCAGAGATCTGACTCTGAGGAACTCCAGCATTTCACTTGTATGTATTTTGGGTTGGAGCAGCAGGAGTTGAGGACTGAACGTCTCCCACGTGATTCTTTGCTGTTTTTCCACCGTGAACTTGGAGTTTTCAGGTTTTCCTGCAGATTTTTTAAACGATTCCTTGAACAAGACGTCAGTGAGCAGAGAGAAAAAAGATCCTGGACGCTGAACACAAACACTTTCTTTATCTCTTTAGAACATCTGAGGATAAACGTCAGCAGCTGATTCATCCGTCACTTTGGCAGCAGGTTGTCCCCCAACGTCTCTGGACCTGATTGTGTCTCTGGTCCAGCTCCTGGATTTTCACTGGCGTCTTTTCACGTCTCATTCAGGTACAGAGAAAGTTCCTGTGACTCTTCCCTGTTTATATATGATGATGTTATTTTTAGGTCCCTGAAGTTTTCACATAAACTCAGTCTTAATCTTTGTTCCAGCAGAGGAACAGTTCATGTCACCGTGTAGAACAAGATACAGCGAAGTGAAAAATCCTACTTGAGTAAAAGGTAAAAGAATGAAATTGCAGAATGTCCCTTAACATAGAGACTGATAATAAACTATAACATCATAATTAATCAGTTTATTCATATCCTGGGTCCACCGTTAATTAAGAGAAAGAATTCTGACCATGTGATCAACGTGTGAAGTTAGCGTGAACACAGGCTGATGACGTGTGAACCTGAAGACGCAGCTGGAGTAAACAACATGAATTCAAGTTGCTCTTGTCGCCGGGAAACTTCCTGAGATTCATCGTTAACGTTCACCGGTTACTTCCACCGTCGATTTCCTGCTTCCATCAGTCAACGTGTTTGTTCTGAAGCTTCTGGATGAAAGTTCACAGAAGCTTTGACCATCAGAATTAATTCAAACCTCAAAACATTAACTATCTTTAAAAGCAAGTACTTAATGTGGTACTTTTACTGAAATACATGTTGGAAAACTTCATTTTGAGGAACATCAGTTCTAAAAAGTGTTGAATCAAAACCCTCAGTCCTCCTCCTGTCTCCTCTTGTCTCCTCTTGTCTCCTCCTGTCTCTTGTTGTCTTCTCCTGTCTCCTCCTGTCTCTTGTTGTCTCCTCCTGTCTCCTCTTGTCTCCTCCTTTCTCTTGTTGTCTCCTCCTGTCTCCTCCTGTCTCCTCTTGTCTCCTCCTGTCTCTTGTTGTCTCCTCCTGTCTCCTCTTGTCTCCTCCTGTCTCTTGTTGTCTCCTCCTGTCTCCTCTTGTCTCCTCCTTTCTCTTGTTGTCTCCTCCTGTCTCCTCCTGTCTCTTGTTGTCTCCTCCTGTCTCCTCCTGTCTCCTCCTGTCTCCTCTTGTCTCCTCCTTTCTCTTGTTGTCTCCTCCTGTCTCTTGTTGTCTCCTCTTGTCTCCTCCTGTCTCCTCCTGTCTCCTCTTGTCTCCTCTTGTCTCCTCTTGTCTCCTCTTGTCTCCTCCTGTCTCTTGTTGTCTCCTCCTGTCTCCTCTTGTCTCCTCTTGTCTCCTCCTGTCTCTTGTTGTCTCCTCCTGTCTCCTCTTAGTTAATGAACCTGAGAGTTCACCTGCTGCTCACCTGTCAATCATCACTCCTCTCTCTCCTGCAGGCTGAGCGCGTGAGGAGGAGGTGGAGGAGGAGGAGAAGGAAAAAGAGGAGGAAGAGGAGGAGGAAGAGGATGATGATGGACATGAGGAGCGCGCGCCAGAGCATCGTCTCGTGCAGCGAGCAGAACTGCAGCGCGCGCAGCCCGGAGAGCGTGGCGGTGCCTGCGGGACGCGCGTGGATCGTTAACGGCTCGGACGCGGATGCTCAGCGGCTCGTGGAGCTCCAGCTGCCCGCCACCTCCGCACCGACGGTCAGTGACTTTTCCGTTTATTCTCCAGAGGTGAGGAAAACATCCGCTTCACTCTTTAACATCGAGCTCTGATTTAAAAACGTTTTCATTTAGAACAAAATGTGATGAAATGATTCTTCACTGTTTCATTCATCTTCATAATAATTTTATATTTCTGTCACTGAAACTCTGAGGATGTGAACTCAGCTTCATGTGTCTGTTTGAACATCGTTTAACTCAGTGTGTTAACTCAGCAGATAATTAACTACAAGAAACTATCAAAACACATAATGTGCAATTAGAATTCAACTGTAACTACTATTAACTAATGCTAATACTAGTACTACTAGTACTGCTAATACTACTACTAATGACCAGAGAACAAAGATGCTACAACAAACAATAACAGGTTACTTTATAAATGAATCATTTGGTGCAGATAGATTATTAATGAGTAGCAGTAAAGAATCATAAAAAATATATACAAACACTTGATTCCCATGTTTCATGTATATATATATATATTAGTTAATTAGTTAATTAGTTAATTGAGGGTCAGTTGTTTGTGTGTCACAGACACAGAGATTCTCTTCACTCTTAATTCACCTTCATAACGAGCTGAATGTTACTGACCCACATTATTCCAACAGGAACATGTAGGCTGCGTATTGATCAGGGGACATGAAGCTTCAATCATCTGCTTCACTAAACAGAACAAGAACCACATGAACTGCAGGAATAAACGATGAACTGAGTTTTCACCTCAGATTGATGGTTTGAATGTGAAAACGTGGTTTAATTTGAGCCTATGATGGTTTCTGATAAAGATAAGATGCATTCAAATGAAATGTTTGAGGAGGTTCACAGCTCAGCTGCATCAAATCCTGCAGGATCTCCATATTTCTAAACGGAATAAAATCCTGCGTTTGCAATCTGGTGTCGTTGTCTCGCTGTGACAAAGGGTGAGAGACACAGAGAGAGAGAGAGAGAGAGAGAGAGAGAGAGAGAGAGAGAGTTACAGAGGCTGACAGAACAGTTTGTCTCTAGGATGCATCAGAATTAAATGCATGAATGCAACTGTTCTCCTGCACGGCTGTTTGTGCGTTTGCATCCACACACACACACACACACACACACACACACACACACACACACACACACACGGATGCAGAAATGTTCCCATGTTGTCTCTCGTCTCTCCAACACCTCGGAGCTGCACATGTGGCGTCACGGTTCAGAAAGGTCGTGTTTGTTTCCTGCAGCAGCAGCGAGGTCACCGTGCTCACCTGCAGATGTTCAGGTGATCAGCGGACATGACTTCCTCCTCTGGGGTCATGTTGCGTGTCTGCTATCGATTGTTGAATTTGCCCGTTGTTGGACAAACACATATTGACGTCTGTATTCCGAGCGTCCGTCCGTGCATCATCCAACACTGGATTGATCCCGAGCCTGTGTTGGTTCCCAGCTGCCAATCGTGGCTCAGTCTGCTGCCAACTTTCCACTCAGTCGTTTAAACCACTGTCAGG